AAGCAAAGGAATTCAGACTGATGCTAAGGTAAGAAGTTCAGAATACTGTAATTTCATGACTAATCTGAGTAAGAGAGCATCTAGTAAATAGTGCTTCATATTCATGCACTGGAAAATGAAAATAAAATATAATGTCATATTCTTTAAGTATTTTCAGTGTCTCAGCCAGGCACCAGAAGGTGTAGACTGACATAGTTGAAATATACTGAACAGTTATTCATACAAAAGAAACCAAAACAAAACAAGTTAAAAAACCAAACCAAAACAAAAAACATTAGCTGTCTCAGACTCAAAAGATATTTCAAGGTTTTAGAAGCCAGCATGAAAATAGAGCAACTGTCAAAACGAGAAATCCAAAAGGTGATGCTCACGGTATCTGATAACCAGTCAGCTCATCTTGAACAAATTTCAGAGTAAAACCTCATCGAAGTGAGAATGTTCTGCGGGCAGCTGGTTCAGACCATGGGAATGTATTGAGCCACTGTAATCCTGGTTTGAGAATTATCTTATGGTATAATAAAACCTTAGAAAGAAAATATAATGAAGCCCCTGTAATTAATTTGCACTCCAAGTAAGATATTGTTCCATGTTAAAGACAGTTTTCATATTATTTCATATTTCCTACTGAAGGAAGGAGGCTGTAGAGGGAGAGAGAAGGAAGAAAATGCTTTCAAAAGCACTGCTCCTACTCAGATTTGTGCTTGAATCCAAGAAGACAACTCATGTGTGGAAGGATAAACAACTGCATAATTCTGTTCAGGACCAGGACTGTACTGGCAAAACTAACAACTTTGATGACAGGCTTCCCAGAGAGGCCAAGAGCTGAATGAAGCGTGAGCTGCCCTCATAACCTTGGACTCAATGGACATCAACGTGTTATCCATGGACTTCACTGAGCCCACAGTTTACTCCTCTGCGGTCAAACAAAAGCGTATAGGAAAAACTGCTCCATGAAGGCTATGCAATTTCTACATAGGTAGAATTTCCAGAGGGGTTCTCACATCCACATTAAAAGTTTGAAAAAGCTGCTAGAAAGTATCTATTCTCTCCAGCTCAGAGCTACAGCACATTGTTCAAAAGAGCTTATGTAGTTAGTTCCCTTCTGAATTGCTGAATGCAATATATTGCAATGATCAGTAGGCGAAGTCTTATGGATATTTTTTCAAACAACCTTTCAGCAGTGCGACATGTCTTTATTATAAAATATTTTAATTAAAAGCTGCAATTTAGCATTAGCATGGCGTGAGCTCAAATAAGATCAGTTGTTTACTGTATTGTTTAAAGATTAATATGTTTTAATTAGATATTTATCTATTATACAGATTTTAAACTTCAGTAAGAACCAGATGTTCATCTGGGGTAAAGTGACAAAGCTTACCTGAAGTAAAAGTATCTTTTATATTCATATCAGCGGGTCCTAAGTGTTTCTGAAACTCTAACGACATGAAAAGACATACAGCCTATCTTTATTAATCTAATGACTTTAATGTTAGAAAACACTGAAATTAAAATGGTATTTAATCAAGCACTTAGTGCTCTATGTTTTACATCAAAGAGCTATGGGATAAAATACATATATTACTTAAATATTTCTTAGAGCAATGGCTAAAAATGAAGGAATGGACACAGATGAATGCCTTAACCACTCATGCCCACTCACTTTCCCAGTGAATCTCTGAACACAAAACAGAACAAGGTCAGAAAGGACCAGACGCAGCTGCAGTACAAATGGGTGGAAGAGAATGGAGGATGGAGGGAGCCTGGCCAACAGATTGGATATGCAAATCAAGATAATGAGTTATTATATTTTTTCCTCACAGTTTTTACACAGTTGTTCCCCCACATTCTTTCAGAGAAAATGGAAAGTGTTTATTCTTTAGGCTGATGCATGTAATTAAAACTTGCTTTAAGAAGGAGTACAGACAAAGCCATCTCTTAAGAGGTTAAAAATGAGAGGCATACTTAAAGACAACAGTAGTTTCACTGAAGCCATCAGAAAATAAAAACAGTATTTAAAAATAATAAGCTTGTTGGGTTTTTTTTCAGTAGTGTTTCTCCTAACACAAAATTTTAATTGCAGATTAGTTTTACTCTTGTAGTCCTGTTGATAGATTTGAGGCAAGCAACATACATCATTAATTGTATTGTGTAGGGGATCATATTTCAAACAACAGCTTTGTCTGACCGAGCTACTACAGCCTGTCCGATTGTTGTGGAATTGTCATTAAATGGAAATGATGCCTGGGAATGTTGAACTTAATGTTATGTTTCCAAATACCATGAATAACATTACAGTACCTTTAATGAATTTCATAGGAGAAAAACGTCATTAGACAAAGCAACAATATTAGCCCTGGTGCCCTGGCCAAATTCCAATCTGGCTAATTGCGTTCTGACACCCATTATTTCTCAGTTGTTTGAATTTGGTATGTTTGTGTACCTCACTGTTCATTGATATGTTAATGCTGTACATCATCAGGTCGTTGCTGTCTGTCACCCCAGAGTTAGCTGGCGACTACTCTTGACCATCCAAGTGCTTTTAATGAAGCTGTAGCTACAGTACATGACCTTGAAAAGATTCCTTTCAATTTACCTTCCCGCAGTTCATCAAGTTACTTAGATATTGCTTAACCTAACAAGTAAACATAGATTTAACTTATTTCAGTGTTTGTTAAACATACAGCACAACCTCACATCCCAGTTCTGAAATAACAAGCTGCCGAAGTCCATTAACATGCGCTTAAAGCTGGGCACAGAGATGACCTCCCCCACACTAGTGCTTTAGTTCAGGTCAGAGAGGCATTCTGAGCAGTATCCCCTAATCATCTCCACTTAACCATGCTTTGCTTTCAATCATGGAGCGGTCTCTGAGAACATGACCTGAACTATGCATGAAATTTAAGTGAAGATAATGCTTCAGGAGCACAACTTGTACATCTCGGCACCAACTACTCATGGAGACAATGGCCCTGGAGTAGAGTTAGTCCAAAGTTAAAAATAAATTCCCCAGATGTGGACTTCAGAATAAAATGGTTTGTTCTACAGCTCTGCTCCTGTTGGTTCATACTACTTGCTTATGTAGACATAGTCATATTCGACTCCTTTATTCAAAGGAGCAGATCTGCATTTTATTATCTTACTAGGCTTTGATGTAAGGGTGTCCCATGGCTCAAAGTCTGGATTGCAGAATATTTGAGAAAACCCTTCTGACATTGCCATACTTGTTGAGAGTTGTAGAGGGCTTATGGAGGAAAAGATTCTGAAGACCTAAAAGCTCATTGAAAGATTTTTAAAAAATATAGGACCTCTATTTGGAATTGTCTTGATACACATTCAGGCAGAATCTTCAGTGACAACCTTGTATAACAGGTTTTTCTGTGTCTGTCACATCACAAAGACATGATTTCTAATGTCATTCCCAAGAGCCTCTCCATGCCCTTTATAAGCTTGAGTGCTGTTTGTGATACCCAAGTCAGATATTCATGCACACTAATTTTCCTGTTTGAAGACCAGACAAGATCTTCAAGGAGCACGTAAAACACTTAAATAGGGCATATATTTTGATATGCATTGACAGTGATTAAAATATAAAAGCCCAATAAATCGTAAGATCAGAAAGAGGTAGTGCCAAAGGTCACTCACTGGAAGAGAGTCTTCATGTCACATTGTGAATAGAGTATTCCTGAAACCCCCATCTACTGTAGGTAACCAATCATATCCCATTTCTGTTGGGATCAGGTGCAATGTCCTGTTCTCTCAGCAGAACAACTGAATCCACATCCCTCCCCATCTGGTACATAAGTACCCCAGAAGCTGCACAGATTGTACTGCATGTTGCACATGGCACTGTTATTTGAAGCCTCAAGCTGCGTGTTAAACTGCAGCTGGATTGTCACCATTAAGGTTTTGTCACAGTCTGATTTAGGGAGAAAGTCAATGATCTGGAAACAGATGTGAAGTTTTAAATGTACGTCATCAGATCTTCAGGATTAATTTCAGGCTTAACACTGCCTTGGATTTTCTTGAGGTAGAAGAAAGAAGACAAAAGAAATGGGGAGAAGAATGACAGGATAAGTGGAAAAGAGTAGACAGGATCATGTGAGCACAGATGCTAGTGAACTGAAAAACACTATTTTATTTAATTGTTACATATGTCTGCACAGAAGTCAGTCATTTGAAAGCAGTTGTAGTGTGCATAAGGAGCCTCTTAAGATTTCCATATAGGAAAATCTTTTTTTTTCCTCTTTTCGAAGTTTCTGATTGAGATTAAGGATATTTTCCATTCAGTACTGGGACACAACCAAGCCATTTTTAAGATGGTCTCTCTCTAACTCACTGCCTTGCACACACACACACATATCAATTCAAACAGCAAGGAGGAAGCAGAGAGGAAGCCAAAGGAAACGAGTGATCAAAGATTGCTAAAGACTTTGAGAGAGCCACAGTCAATGCCCTCATAGTCAAAGAAATCTGCTGCTGTATGGGTGGTGGTGGCTCAAATTTTGTATACAAATCAAAGTGGATTCAAGCCACTGGCTTTTCAGGCAAAGATAATCTCATACATATTTCTCTATTTTAACTAGATTTTTTTTCAGTCTGAGTTTGAGAAACCTTTAATTAAATCTAGTACGTTCACGAAAAAAATAATAATCTGCATTTAATGGCTGGTAACTTCCAGTGAAAACAGGTTTTTTGCCACAAAGATCCTGAGTGAATCTTTTTCCATGCTGAACATCTATATTACTTCAAACAAAAACAGTGGGGTTCCTTTTCAAGTAAAAACAAGGAACATCTGGATGTGATTGGTGAAGGCTGCTTTAAGATCCATAATATATGAATGAAAAGTACTAAGTCCTTAATTTATTACCAATCCTAGTGTGTTGTGCTTTGATTAAACCTCATCTTGTGCTAATAATTCTTAGTACTGTACAACACACGCTACAGAAATCCCTGAGGTAGCCAAGGAAAACCAAGCCAAAACCAGCAGAAAAGTTACTTACCTGTCTGAACTCTTCAAGATCTATTTTGTTTCCCACCAGCACCAAGGGGATGTCATAGGTGTGCCGGACACGATAAATGAGTTCCTTAAAGTCAGCAGCTTCTTGAAAGGATTGGCGGTCTGTGATGGAATAGCAGATAATGAAGCCTTCTCCGCCCCGCATGTATTGGTCCCTCATGGCTGTGAATTCTGCCTGTGGAATAGGAAGAACATGCTTGGTAATTTGGCAAACAAAATTATTCATCTGTAAATAACAAACTTGCTGAAAACTTCCCCCATTCCCTACATAATTTCCTATTGCTTGTTTTACTGGTTTAAATACTGCTTGCTGAAACTTGTGCATCCTTCTGGGGCCATCATCCTGGATAACACAACACCAGGATTTCTCTTAAGACCTTTTTTTTCCTTTTCCCATAGACTCTGTCTTCTAAGAATATGAATTTATTATGCCAGTGCCTGCATACAGAAAATCCTGTCTCATGTATTTCTAGAACCTTCTGCAGCACTTTCGGTACACATAGATAATGCAATTGAATGAATACTAACAGGTGTAAAAAAAAAGCTATATTACGATCTAGGGATTGGAGACAGGTACAAACTCCTTATTATGCACTCAATTCAACAGCTCAGTAATATCAAAAAGACATTCATTGACTCCCACCAGCTTTGGAATAGTGCCTAGTAAAACAGGAGTAGAATCTGCAAAATGTTCTGCTCTTTCAAATGCTCTCAGAGAAGCTGGGGCTTTCAGTTCAGTGTGGGATAATACCATTAAATGAAAATGAACAATTTCAAAGAGTGTGAGAATTGGCCCAATTTCCTCCTCCTGCATTTTTCTCTATTTATATATGTATTTATTGTCACAGCAACACTTCTGTTACTGGTATGGTTTTTCAGAAGTATTTAACAACTGCCACATTGTACAAAAATCAAGATTTAGTTTTCAACAACTAGTCTCATGCACTGTGGCTTGAGAATATGTTTTAAAGCCAGTTTCTTTTTCAAGTTTGTTTGCTCTTCTTGATCACAGCCCAGAATAATCCAATACCATGGCAACAGTCGGTCAGGATCAGAATCCTCCTGACAGAATCAGTTCTCCAGAGATATTAAGATGCAGGAAGGTCTGATAAAGCAAGGAATACATGTATCAACATTGGACCATTTCTATGAGCAGCAGGATGCAATATCAAGTCCTGTATTTTTTACACTGTTGAGAATTTAGGATAGGATTTTAAAAACAGTTTCAGTTATATATATACATATATCTCTTGAGTTCTGGCTGAAAATTGAAGGGAAATGGATTGCTTATGCTCTTTTAAAAGTCTCAGCCTTAAATCTTTCTCAATAGTCACTCATGTTGATTGATAATACTTCCTGTGAATAGACTTTCGTGTTGACCATTATCATTTATTCATGATGTATCTTTTACCCAAGGGCTTTCTTATATATCATGCAAAATATTTCACCTGCTACAGGAAAAAGTTCATAGACTTAGCTCCAAAATAGCAGACTAATAGGCAATTTAAGGGTAGGATTCTGCTTTGAGACTTACTCAGAATTTCAAATCTCTAAACTATCACCACTGGCATCCCAGGAGAGTTTATTAACTACCAAGCTACAGCATAGAGTGGATCAGGCCATATTCTATCCCATCCTCTTGAAACTGGATGAAGAAGAAGTAGGGCAGCAGTGGGGTGAAACACAGAAGACATCAAACAAAAAGGATTCTATGCTCTTCTGGGGTGGGCAAGACAACGAATGGAAATCTGCCTCTGTTCCCAGGTCTTTGCCCGACATCTTCTTTAGAAGACCATACTCAAGGTCCAAGTAATGGGCAGGGAGTGTTAATGACTAAACACAGAGACATACACCTTCTCCTTTACTCGCCCTCAGATCCTCGGGACCCAGAATTAGGGTTTCTCCGCAGCCCCCGTCCCCCGTTCACCCAATTGTCCTCTCTTTGCCTCAATCACCTGGAACTGTTCTGCACCATGATGAGTAGGGTAGTGTCCTTTGTAGGAGTTGCTGAACAAGGCCAGGATCCCTTCAGGCTCAGCAGACAATGGAAACCTTATGTGGAGTTAAACTTGTGGATTAAGGCTCCTGAATTTAGCTGTCCGTGTAGCTGCAGGTCACTATCTAAGGCCCTGTTATAGATAATGGCAAGCTAGTCAATGCAATTAATGGACTAGAGATTGCTTCTGCTGATGAAAAAGTTATCTCTTTAGTTACCTAATTATCTATTTTTTTGTTTATCTGTTTTAGAGCGAGCTGAACATTTATACAACTGAATGGAGCCACTAGCTCCCATGTAGACATTGGAAAGTAGATGTTTTGGTATGGAACTTAAATCCCAGCCCAGACGACCCGTCTTCCCACGTTAAAGATTTCATAAATCAAGTACTGTAACACTGTATGATTATTCTGCACAGCACTAGAGCTCTGCTTAAGCGAGATGATCCACCTCTAGGAAGTGCTCAGAACTTTGTACGCTCATTTATAGCTATTTATGGCAAACTAAGAAGGAATTAGGTCACATATCCCTGTTTAAGTTACTCACAGTAAGTGACTTTCCGCAGCATGAGGACTCCCAGGATCACTCCCCAGGAATGTTCAATGGCTTTCGTTGACTGCTAGGAGACTTTGGGTTCCTAAATTTATACACTGAATCATTCCAAGGGACAGAGTGCTCAGCTTTTAGGCACTGCCATTCTTGAGTCGGAGTCATTTACCTACACATTCTCGTTCACGCCTGCACATAGTTATGACTTTAAGGATATGAATGAATTTACTTCTGCAATTTTTTATTATGACATTTTATTGCTGCTGATGTATTAGACTAAACAGCCAAAGTACTTTAGTGTCATGTTTGCAGTGATCCATTTTCAGAGGCATTAATTATTCTATGTAAACTGGACTGGGGACATCCACTTGGTTTTCTGTTTTTAACTCAGTTAGTCATTTCCATTCTTATTTTTTGGTGTTGACTTTCACTTCTCAGCTTTTTCCCCTTAGCATCATTGCTCATTACAGAGTCAAGGACTCAAAGGTCAAACACAAACAAACCTTTTATTGGATTTCAAAAAAAGTGTTTTTTTTTCTCTCTTCACCAAGAATCCCAACATAGTAATATATACTAAGAAAAAGAATAAATACAATTTCTAATAAACATACTATAACCATTGCAATAATGTTTGCATATTATATACACAAGACAAAGGACTAAGATGTAATTAAACCTCTTTGTTAATTTTTTAGTTCAAGTCCTACTCCAGATTTCACAGTTTACTTGTATCTCTACAGTAAGCAGAACCAAAATCCAAATTCACCTGGGATTTGTGGATGTTCAGAGGTACACTGAGACAGACCTAGAGGTTTTACAGATTTTTCAGTCGTTTTATTTTTATATTTTGCCTGGTTCTCTTATAAAAGAAAGCAACAGTATATCTGTGCAGTTGGCACACTAGTACAGTTGGCACACTAATATCTTTTTTAATTGTTTCCTGATGTAAAAGTTACTTTTTAAAAAATTATTCAGGAATAGTACTAGATGCCATTTGCTACTCAAGAAGGGGAAAATATGAAACATTCCCAAGTCAGTAAATGCCAAAGGGAAGAGACAAAAGGAAATCACACCTCCTCAAAAGGAAATCAATTCTGAGAATTAAAGTGAAGATTTGTCATGCTTATAGCACTTTGCAGCTTGACATCAGTCTCTAATACTCTCTTGTGCATTATGACTAAGTCTTAACTGAAAAATGTGGTAAAAAATCTTTTTAAACTAAATCATCATTCTTAGGAGAGATGGTATACTTGAGAACAAGCACAAGTCTGGATAGAAACAAAATAAAAATTCTCTAAATTTGAAAGAAGGCAGCATAACTTTTTCCTTTTCTTTTTCCTTTATAATTGAATGTAGAAAAAACCTGATACTAATCCTCATATGATTATATATGTCTACCTGTCGTTGAAGAAAGTTAGCAAGAAAATCTCTCAATGATTATGTCGCTCTTAAATAGATGTCACATTTGCTTTTTATCAGTTCTCAGGCATCTCCTGTGATTTTTCAAAGATAAGAGAATGGCTTCACAATGACATAGAGCAGCTCCCTCAACATGCTCAGAAGCATCCCATCCTGTTGTATCCAACTGCAGACACCCAGATTACCTAACTTGCACCTGTTGATCCCCCTCTGCTAAGGGCAGTGTATCTCTTCCTCAGACTTTCCTGGGAGGCATAAAGATGTGGGATGCGTAAGAGCACAGCTTGCCTGTACAGGCTGGGATAGAGAAAGTCCTAAGTATGTTAGTCCTTTCCATGTTCCTCATCATTAGGCCACTCGCTCCTTTCAGCAGCAGCTCCACATTTTTCCTGGTCTTTGTTTAGTTGCCAGCATATCTGTAGAAACCTCTCTAGCTGCCTTTTTCATCTCTCAAAAGTTTCAACTCTAGAAATGCTTTGGCTTTCATAACCCAATCCATTCATACCCAAGAATACTGCTACACTGATCCTTGGAAGACTGTCCCTGTTTCCACATTTCATCCTTCTGTATATGCTTTTTCTAGTAGCTTTTAGGAGAACAACTTAGCAAAGAAAATACTTAACCTCTGTTTTCTCTCTGCATCTTGATTTATCCTCTTTTATCCCACTTTTCATAACAAGCAAAAGAAAGCTTTTCAAAATGAGCAATATTTTTAATTAGTTTTAAAATTCATATTGCTTTCATAGAAATATAAATAGAACTTGCATGTTTTATTTGTTTCTTAGACATTAGAAACTTTTCCAAATAAGATCAGCATCCTAATGTCTCCAGAAGAAGAAACAAAGGCATCGAGCAGCAAAGTCAGATAGTGTACGCTTAGATACCTAGATCCTTATGAAGGATTGGTTTATGGGTTGCTATCAAACATAACAGTTTGGATCTAATGTTCAGGAAGGTGTATCACAAAGTGCACTGAAGCCAAGCCTGGTTCTTTACTCTTTCCTAAGTATTTCCTCCTGAACAAAGCTTTGATCCAACTCAGAATAGAAATTGTTAAGAAGCAACCTCTTCCACATCAGCATTTTACAGCAGCAGAACTGAAGAGTGAAGCCAATTCTCCTGGATCCCCGTGTTATGCATGGCTAATAGTTAGCCTTGTCAGCCCCAAAAGGATAAAAGAAAAAGAGGGGGAAGAGAAGAACTAACAAAAA